GATGAGACCAACGAACCTAATGCTCTGATACCAAGTTTGTCACAACCCAAAACGAGCCGCGAATTGCACCCACACTTATCCTACTATGTGAGCGAAGCAAAAAATCTAAACCCCAATATTTCAATACAATATAAACAGAATATAATGTGGAAGACTTAAAACTCATTAATGAACATCGATTAAATAACATCTAAAACTCAATACTTATCATTCCCAAAATCTGGAAGTCATCACACCAAGAACAACTATCCTCAAATTGTAAGTCTAAGAGTATCTAAGAAACTAAAGCAAGTAAAAGAGATGGTTCATATCCGAACTTCAATACATCAGGACGTGAAGGAGAGAGTCCAGTCCGAGCTAGAAACAGTAGCTCTCCCTGAATTCTTATAAACTGAAGACTGTCCAGAGTTGCGGACGAGTCAAAGTCGATGGTACGTTTTCTACACTCCATAAATAACAAAGAGAAACATACAAGTAGGGGTCAGTACAAGGCACAAGTACTGAGTAGGTATCATCGGCCAACTAAAAATAGAGAACAATATATATCAAATAATAGCATAAAATCAGCCATAATACTTAACAGGTGATGACAACAAGTACAAGAATCATGGATAACAACACCAAGCGCACCCATGAGGACTCAAGCCTCCACACCATACACATTTGGGAGATACGTTCTTTGAATTTAATTAAATTTACATAATTCCATATTCAACCCCTTTATTCCTCTTATGTCAGAATGTGACACTCCGATCCCCTAATACTACGTGTTGGTTCGTGACACCCGATCCCCTAATAATAAGTGTTGGTTCGTGACACCCGATCCCCTAATACTACGTGTCGGTTCGTGACACCCGATCCCCTAATACTACGTGTCGGTTCGTGACTCCCGATCCCCTAATACTACGTGTCAGTTCGTGACACCCGATCCCCTAATACTACGTGTCGGTTTGTGACACCCGATCCCCTAATACTACGTGTCGGTTCGTGACACCCGATCCCCTAATACTACGTGTCGGTTCGTGACAACCGATCCCCTAATACTACATGTCAGTTCGTGACACCTGATCCGTTAACCTCATTCTTTTAGTTCATCAAGCCTTCTTTTATATCAAGGCATCATCATTAATAGCGTGGATTTAAGGTTTTTAAGATTCCACAGTATCATCATTATAATCCATCACCATTTACATAATCACAACATGCAACAACACAGTTAAGCATATAGAAGACTTTACAATACCACCCAACACATATCAATCGCTATTTAGAGTTTACTATGAAATAGCATAAACCATAACCTACCTCCACCAAAGAATCGTGATCAAACAAGCTACTTCCCAAAGCCTCTGCTTTCCTCTTCGCTTCTCTCTTATTCTCGTTTGTTCTCCCTCTCTTTCTGTCTCTTTCTTCTTTTTCCTTATTCAAACTCTTTTTCTTTTACCCTAATTATCATATAATTTCTTATGATAAAAGTAACCCATTATTTATTTTAAGTTACCTCCTTTAACCCCTAAGTAAATAAGTTATTAAACTTACCCACTAATTTCATACAGTTTGTCATCAATAGTCCAAAACACCCTTTCAAAACTTTAGCAGAAATCCAACCCAGTCAAGGTTACGCAGCTCGTGACGGCCCGTCGTGCCTGCGATGGTCTGTCCTGCTATTTCCGTCACAAAGTTCAGAGAGTCGAATTTATTAAAGAGTCTGTGACGGTCCGTCGTGCCTACGACAGTCTGTGCTGCTCTTCTGTCGCGATGTTCAGAGAGTTGTTTCCCCCTACCCAAATTTCAGAGTTTAAGTGTTTTGGCACGAAGACCCTCGACGGTCCGTCATGACCATGACGATCCGTCATGTGATCTTTCGACACAGACATTTTTATCACAGTTATTCTACTACTCGAAACGACTAAACAGGTCGTTACTTTAGATGTCCTTGTTGTGATGACTTACAGGTTTTGGGCAACAAAAATTAAATAGATTTTGAGCTTCCCCATTATTCTTGTATAATATAATTTAAGGTTAAATTTTTTTGTTAGCCCACCTACATAGTTTAGTAGGGGTGCCACTCATGACTCGTTTTGGGTCTTTAAAATCTCCCACCACCAGTACCGCTTCCATATCCACAACCTTGACTACATTCCCTTGTGCAATAACAATCTTCTTCATACTTATAACACTTAGTTCCTCTTCTACCACCACCACTATGTCCATCGCCACCTCCACCATACCTCCCACAACCATCACCTCCATACCGTCTTCTGCCACACCTAACAACCTTCACTACCACAATATTTCCCACCTAAAAATGTATTTAAACCACCGCCACCGTAGGAATCACTTCCACTACCTCTACGATTACGAGATCCTGTATTGATAAGAGCACCATCTGGGCCGATAACATTGGTGGCCTTCGTATGACAATCATTCCCAGATTCCACATCGAGCTTAAACACTTCACTGACAGTTAAACTATGAAAATCTTTAGATATTATACTAGAGTAAAGAATAAAAAGCTCTTCACAACCATCATCTGGAGACACAATATTGAATTCTTTTTGGTCACTAAACCTCATCACTGTTCCTTTTATCTTATGCCTCTGATTATACCAACTTACAAAAGAGTTCATTATATGTAAAATTCATTTTTACTTTAAATCATATACACGAACATGATCAAAAAGCTCGTGTTCAATGAAATCAATAAAGATCTCTAACACATACACTTCATTTTTATTTTCCATTTCTACCTTATAATTATGAACAATATGAATATAAGGGAAAAGCTAATAAAACATGTTTATAAAATTGATTAAAAAGAATAGTATAGATAAAATTGAATAAATTCAAATGCATATGCATGCTTTTTCTAAATTTATATCAACATCAATACAATTTTCTTATATAAGTTTCTAATAGAAATCTCATCGTATGTACAAATTAAATTATTATCAAAGTCATAATTGATAGATCAAGAATCTAATTTAGTAGGAAATGTTTTTGATGGATTCAAATTATTAAGTAAATCTCAATATATATTTTTTATCCAATATGCTTTATCTGTTTTAAAAAATAATTTAGCTTTTAAGGGTATAAAAGTTCAACAACATTTTAAAAATATATTTTTCAATAAACATTTAATATTTTAAAATACATGAATTCATAATATACTTATTTCTATACATATAGTTTCCACCATATATTCTTAAACAACATTTAAAATATAACATATATTCTCGCTTTTAGATACTCTTTAATACGTTCATTTATGTTACTTTATTGATTTGATACAACACTAGATGAATTCTTGAACTTATTATTGAGACAACCAATTGAAACACCAATGCTATTAAAATTGTCCAATATTTTTTAATTTTATCAAAATTTGCTTAAATTGTAAATGATAGAGAAGAATTACATTATCCTTTAACCAATTCCTTAAACCTAGTTTCTAAAAAATATCCCTTGGAGCCATCACATATCTCACTTTTTGTTAACCCTTTCTCAACTTGCCTCAACAAAAGTCTTGCCATGACCTGACTTCTTGAGTCTTGATGGAACTTACTATATCAGCTAATATGTAAGACAACCCGTACCGAGAAGGTAATGTAGTGAGTGCAAACGGTAGAACTAAAGTGAAATGATACTAATAAAAGAAAGAGACAAAAGTGAAGCAAAACAAGAAAAATATATATATACAATAGAAACCCTCTCCAAACCTTGAAGTCACGAGTACATAGCTATCTAATATGAAAAAAATACAATTTTCAAAAGTGGACCCAACTGTCAAACCCCGAGGCTACCTCTAGACGTAACACGGGACCTAGCATTATGAGTTATCCAAAGCTAACGATGAATCTATAATATCATGAATATACTGAAAATAGTTATGTAAAACATGTGCGGAAACTAAAATGAAGGATATCTGAAAATGTAGAATACCTAAATGCACTAAATATAAGTGAAATAAACTAGGGCTTGTGATAACTGAAATGACCACTTAACAACTCATGCTAAATCTACTATTATGTATGAAATGCCCTAAAAGGAGTTGAGTTGATGAGACATGCTCCCATCTAACTCTAATAAAACTGAAACTAAAAATAATGACTAAAATGAAAGCATGTCTATTGTCCTCGAAATATGATGACTCGCCTTTGAAGTTGCCGAATGTGAACGGATAATCGGTTTATGCGTGATTTGTATGTTGAGTACCTAAACTTATATCTTGAAAGGATGTAGCGCAGATTATGAGAAAGTACTTTGAATGTACTCAGCATGCAGGATATAAATATTATGCTGAAAAATATATATGAGCAGAACAAAGTGTAACTAAGAAATTACATATTCTGAGCAAGAATATAAATACTGGAACATTACAAAAAGGTTAAGATGAATGAAGTGACCAATTGCTAATAATTAAGATAGCATGAGGAACAGTACACTAATATAACTGCTGAGAAACCTTGTCCTATGCACCAAAAGTCTCGCTTTGGGAGAAACTACTAACAGAGACATAAATCACGTGATCTAAAACCATGACCCCGTTTGACAACTGATAGTTGAAACGACGGCTCGTGAGTACCGTAGTTGATGACGTTCGTCAACTTTTATGTCAGTGTCGTTTTTTGGTTTCCTTATTCGTTGACGCACTTAAGTTAGGTTCTTTGGTGGATAAGCTACGTTGTTTTACTAATAGAAAGAGAAATAAGTGTCAGTTTCTTTCAAGAACAAGAAATAGTCTTCTCCATGTTTTTGCCTCAAAGTCCAAATGATTTCTCTTTAGATATCTTCACTAGGTATGTGGCATTTTACTAGTGTGTTCCATTCATCCATTAGGTCCCTAGAATTAAATCACTTCATTGATTCTACATAGATTGTATAGATCTAGGGTTTGAATAAATCTTTGGATGTTTTTTTGTGATTTCAGGTGCTATAGAATTCATAGTGCAAGTAACATGTTTTCTTAGAAATCTTCTCCATACATAGAGCAGGAGGTCAACATCAATAGTGTTTACTAAATTTGTTGCTATATTTCTGTTTTTATATTTAAAAAAATTGAAAGTTCTTTTTTTAAAATGTGAGTGAAATTTTCAGATTCAAGTTAGGAAAAAATGAACAATTTCATAACAAAACACTAATATCGTAAAAGAATGTTATTTTTAAGAAAGTGAATACAATTTATATACCATGACTTTTATGAGAAAATAACAATGAACAAGAAACAATTATTTCTTATTACAACACTCGCATTAGGCGATCTTGATTCATTCAATTCATATTCAATAAAAATAAAAAGTTTACCAATCTAACAACTACTCATTAATTCAAGATATGCCTATTTTAAGAAGGAAAAGTTTTTATTATAATTCACCAAGTAATTTAGTTCCACTAAAAAAGACACACAAACATTTCTTTAAAAAATGGAGAAAGTTGAAGAAGATATGGTGTTGTCATGCGTATTGTGACATCATGGATTAGAAGATGACTGTCAAATTCTCAACTTCAATTTGCGATTTACGTCGATGGATTTTTCAATTTTTATATACCGAATGTCAATTAAGTATTAAAGTTTAAAAGGCATTGTAAGTTTCTATACCAAACAAATTTTACTTATGAAGAAGATAATGACATATAAACTTACAAAGATATATAAAGATAATTAGACACAGCAAGTCAAACTAAGGGATACTCAACCTTTTTCATAAATCCCTCTTTTTTCCTTTTTAATAATTCTTTACTTACGATGTTGAAAGAATTGTGAGTTTTCACTTATGTTTTGTTTGATCTAAATTTATATAAAATTTTGTAAGAGATACAAAATATATCCAAAGATATATTATCTTTTCTAATGTTCAAAACAAAATTAGGAGTTGTAACACAAATAAAGTATCACTAATTGGTAAAATATGCACTAAATTTTAATTTTCTTTCAAATGAATGTTCTTTATTCCATTTTACTATTACCATATAAGAAGAACCAGTATCACCAAATATCAAAACTGCATTGGAAAAATATTTAGGGAAAAATTGTTAAAACAATACTATTAACTATATATTTTTTAATAACAAATTTCCTAGCTAATTCATGTTTTTCTTGTAAAAGAACTTATCTATTGTTTACTTTGATAATTGGCCCCAAATAATTATTTATTAATTTTGGCTATTGTACAAAATCATGTTGTAAATCTCTTTTGTTTTGGTACACTAAAAAAAACCTTAAAAGGAAAAAATAAATTTTGATAAATCAAATTACTCTATTCGCCCAAAAGAAAACAACATAATATTATTGTTGGTAACTTTTCTAATTAGAAATTCTTCTCTATTTTAAAAATAAAATTGGATTCAGAGAAAGGGAAAATGGAGGAGTGGATTACCAGGTAGGGTCAAACCCTCACCAATAAATTAAAAATTAAGGTAGTCAACCAACGTAGCTACACTATGAATCTCAAACTAGCAATTCTCTGTATGTTACAATCTTTATTTCTCAAAGAATCTCGAATATTATTTGTAATCTCTCTTCGAATGCGTATTTTATCTTTGTTTCTGTCATGTTTTTATAATTTTCATTAATAGCAATATGAGAGTGAAATAATATGTCCATATAGTTTTATTATAAATTAAAAGCAAATGGTTATATAACTATTGATATCTTCAATTATTTTATGTTTATGTAGGAAAAATTTTCCATTTTTTTCAAATAAGAAGCAGAAGAAAGAATAAAGTTAAATGAAGATAAAAAGAGATGATAAAGCCTAATGACCAAATGGTGAAGATTAATCAACATATCATAAAAATTCTTGATGTGGTGAGATCTAACAATCATATTATCTTTTCGAATCTCAGCTTGTCAAAAAGGTCTATACATTGCTAATCTATATATCAATACTTATATTTGTACTTTAATTATAAACTAAAACTTAGACATTTAAAAAGAAACGTTGTTTCTTCTATTTCAAGTGGCGTTCTCTCTTCTTTAATCTATTATTAAAAAACAATATTTTCTTAATTAAAACATGATTTAGTTTGAACGTCATATATTTTATCTTCCAAAGACATGTTTAATTGACTCTACATGGAACATAGACTTTTCAAATATAGACAGATTTCATATTTTTTTGGTAGATTGATATCAATATGGTGTTACATAAAATCTAAAGAAAAGAGTATATGACATGTAATATAGGAAGTTTTTTTTTTCTTTTTAAACTCATAATTTGAGGTCAAATTTACAGTATAAGGATCATAAAACATGGGTTGTATATTGATTATAAGTGGTAATATTTATATTTTTCAAGAAGATTTATATTATACTAAACAAATTAAGAAACATATGGATTTATATATTATTCAGAATATGTTAGAACAAGATAGGTTTTTCGAACTTGGAAAATGTCAATTTCATTAAAGATATCTTATTGATTTTTAGCAATGTTATTGTTGATTACACAAATAAAACGCTTCAATATTTTTGTAGCCTGAATTCAAAGCCATTATGTTTATAAACCCAAATTTTGTCATGCAATTGTGTGTGGGTTAGCAGTCATTTTTATAGAGGAGTACGAGAGTGAGAAAT